TGATCCTCACACAAGTCCAACCTCCCCGAGTGGGGCAACATGCGCAGCGCCAGGGGGCTCCACGGCTGGAGCGCGCGAGGCGGACAAGCCATGGTACGTATGACTAGCTTCTTCTTCCTCAATCGCCATGCATGGTATGCTAGCTTCGTCTGACATGCATCGTATTTACGTCGTCGTGTGTCGCAGAACCCTTACGTGCTGAAAATGGATCCATGCGAAGCAAGCACCGGTTCCGCCATCGCCGCGGCGGCCAACATGGCAGCCGTGACCCTCGGCACCGAAACCATAGCTTCCATCCTCTGCCCGGCGTCGGTGAATGCAGTGGTCGGCATCAAGCCAACAGTTGGCTTGACCAGTCGCTCCGGCGTCATCCCCTTCACGCTTAGGCAGGACACTGTCGGGTAATTAAGATGACTACTAGCAGCAATCCGTGCATGTTTAACTTGCCATTAATTTTGAGATGAACGAACTTGCCAATTAAGTGATTAACACGTTGTTTTTTGCCAATTAACCCAAAATGCAGACCATTGTGTCGCACCGTAGCAGACGCTGTCCACGTGCTGGATGCTATTGTCGGTTACGATGCCCTTGACGCTGAAGCCACAAGTGCAGCGTCCCAGTACATCCCTAAAGGCGGGTACAAGCAGTTTCTCAAGATTGACGGGTTACGCGTGGCAAGAGGATTGGTATACCAAAATGGCTTCTTTCACTTCGAAACTAAGACAGCGATGACCACAGTGTACAAGCAGCATATCGAAACAATGAGGTAAGCAAGCAATTTACAATAGAGATACTCTTTACATAAATTCTTGAACAGTCAACAGGATTGGTCATCATTTCCTTATTTTCGATCATAATCAAAGCAATCTAGTTACTCAGTTGCTCTCGTTTTAAGGCGACTTGGAGCGATCGTGATCGAGAACCTGGACATTGCGAATCTGAGCGAGTCACGGGACAACACCAAGAGTGGATTCCTGGTTGCCGTGCCAGCAGAGTTCAAGATCAACCTGAACAACTACCTCTCTAACTTATCGTACACTCCAGTCCGCTCACAAGCTGAAATCATAGCTTTCAACGCCATCCATCCTGTCGAGGTTTGTTTTAGTCAGTCTGAACCTTCAATTTTTCGAATGAGTTGTACTTTCTCAACGACTCTTCTTTTTCAATCTAACAATGTACTGAAATTTGGACTGCAGGAGAAGCTGACAGAGTACGATCAGCTGCTCCTGCTGTTATCTGAAAGCACCACAGGCATCGGCCCCCTGGAGAGAGCTGCGATACATCGGATGGAGGAGTTGTCGGCAAACGGGGTGAAGCTGATGAAGGAACACCAGCTCGACGCGATTTTTACACCTGATTCGAGCGTCGCCACCGTCCTTGCCTACAATGGCCTCCCTGGAATCGAAGTGCCGGCTGGGTACGACGAGAACGGCGTCCCCTTTGGCGTCACCTTCGGTGGGCTCAGGGGATATGAGCCCAGGCTCATCGAGATGGCCTATGCGTTTGAGCAGGCTACCAAGGTCCGAAGGCCTCCCACCATATGAAGGCTTAGAAAGCTCCTAGAATGCACACAACTGTTTGCAGTCCACCTCCTTGCCACTACTTTATTTTTTATATAAAATATGTAATAGTGTTTTTTTTTTTTTGTGTGTTGTCTGTATACTTTTAGTAAAAAGGATTCTAAAAGCATGTTCGTTCTACTTCAGTATAAATGCAATACGCGGCCGGGTCAAATACAATTTATCCAAAACGGAGATGTTCAGTGCTTCATTGAGGATACAACGGCGGTGTTGTGCTTAATTATTTCAGTTAATAATTTGCATCACTTCGCTTCAACTGGAAGCATTCTTACAGAAACAAAAAAAAATTACATAAGAAATATTGGGTTACCAAGTTGAGGTAATACTCTATGAACTACAATGGTGAACACGGAGAAAATAATCGGGTTTGCTAGCACCCGGACATTCGGACGGACAGGGTGTCCGGACGCCCGCGCATGCAGTCATTTTTTCACGCCCTTTCGCGTGTCCACGTGCGGCCTACGCCGCCTCGAACTGTCACTAGCATCGAGAAGAGAGGGAGGAGGAGGCGGATGTCCAGCCGACGTCGGGAGGAGGAGGAGACACCGAGACGAGACAACAGAAGGCGATGAGGGAGATGCAACACCCGATCTACTTTTGAAACATTCAGAAGCAACACTTGCAACATGCGTCTGAAGGCAGATGAAACACTTGCGAAAACACCTGAAAAACCCTTGAAACCATTGTAAAAACATACACAACATCCTGATAAAATATTACAAACATATGTGTGAAATATATGCAATATCCAGATAAACACACTTGCACCATACATCTAGAAAAACAGACGAAACATTAGAAACAAAATATTGCAACATACGTGTACAACCATGTAAACACTTGCAACATCTCGATCTAGTTTTGCAACATCCATATGAAATACTTGCAACATACCTCTAAAACATCTGAAACACTTGAAATAGACACTTGCAACATGCGCTTTCAAGCGCAACATCCTTGTTGCTTGGACGAAAATGGAGGCTCATCGACGCGGAGCTCGACGTTGGCGTGGAGCTCGATGCTCAGAGTGGCGCAGAGGTCGCCGGTGTGGAGCTCGTCAGCAACACGGATCTTGGCAGGAGCCACGGTAAATGGATGGAGCGCGGCCACAATGGGAGGAGCGAGTCTGGTCAGGGGCACGCGGCGTGAGCGGGGGCTGCACGGGCGAGGCAGGGTCTGTCCCGCGAGCAGGGATGCGCAACGCACAGAGCAAGCAGGCGACACGTACAAGGGCGGCGTGGGTGGGGTCCGTTCCACAAGTGGGCGATATAGGCAGGGGCCATCGTACAGACGGACGCCCTGTCACAGCATTACCGGAAAATAATACAGACTCCGATCACAAACATAGTTTGAATCTACTCATGCCAATTGGACCCGACCAAAATTTTCTTAGGTTACCAAGCTTTGCTCGCTTCTGCTACTATTGCAGTTGTAGCACCATCGAGCAGAGCCAAGTCCATCTCAGCTACGTTTAAGCCGAGCCTTAAAAAAAAACTTTGGCTAATAATAATAACTATAAAAATGTCACTTGACTTAAAGGCCATGTTCGCTCGAAGAAATTTGGAGGAATCTGGAAAAATTTGTGAGAGCGTGAACAATGAAATCCCGCTGGTTTTTCAACTAGCCCGAGCCCAAAAAGAGAGATATTTTTAAACCTAGTTTGAATCTAGTGGTGTCAATAGGACCCGACGAAACTTTTCTTGGTCTTAGCCCGGTCGTGGCCTTGACACGATCCTGTCTGTGGGCCGGCCCGACAGCCCTGCACCACACCACACACATCATAGCTATTGACATGCCAAATAAGATTGACAATTTCAGCAATTTCTCAGTCAGAGTGCAATTGGATGTAGAAGGCCAATAGGCGACGGCAAGAGGATATCCATCAGCTCTCCTATACTCTTCCCTTACCCCTTAAATAAGAGATTGAACAGCTCTAGCAAATTTTTTTTATCACATATCCTATCCCTATTTTTTTAGAGATCTCCTAAATCCATTGTTATCCACAATGTGACGAATAAGGGCATGTTTGGTACCGCTTCAAGAGCCGCTTCACCGGCAGATTCACCTGTTGTCCAACTAAATGGTCTCCCGCCGGTCCACTTCGCTCGGGAAGTCACGGAAAACAACTGAAAGAAGAGGGGATAGGGAGTAGAAGCCAAAAAATGTAGCGAGCACCGGCTTCTTTTGACGCAGGTGGACCCCAACACGGGTGTGAGCAGATTTGCCCCTTGGCGAGGCGAGCACTGGTCACCGGGGCCGAGGCAGGAGCAGAGTCACCGGGGCCAGGGCGGGAGTAGAGTCGCCGGGCCTAGGCCGGGAGTGGGCCAGGGCAGGAGCGGAGTCACCGTGGCCAGGCTGAGAGCGGAGTCGCCAGGGCTGGGGCGGGAGTGGAGTCGTCGAGGCCAAGGCAGGGGCGGAGACGCCAGGGCCAAGGTGGGGGCGCGTTTAGGAAGATGGTGGGCGGGATGGGCAGTGTGGATGGAGGACGGACGACGCGGATGAGAAGGACGCATGAGGACGAGAAGGACTAGTGAGGAGGATGGATGACTAGATAAGATGGGAAGGGAAAAAAAGAAAGAAAAAAGAGAAGAAAAGACGGGCATATGGTCATTTGTCCTTTTTGCCATACAAAAGAAGTTGTTTTACCAAACGCTCCACCAAAACAGATTCAGCTCCACTGATAAAACTGTTTTTAGAACCAAAGGCAACAAAAACTAATTAACTAGTAAAGCTGAGTTGTACTAAACAGACCCTAAGAAGGGTAGTAGAGCTTACGGCGATTTCGTTGTGTGGTCCATGACCTTGAATATATCAACTATGGTTTAGCTTTAGAATTTTAAAATGGAATATGAATATATGCTGACGATGTTGCATTAGAGAATGTGTGATGAGCTAATATTTTTGTTTGGCCATATGTCCATGAACAACTCCATCGATGAAGTTATTTTGATAAACTGTTTAGCAAAACTGCTCCACATGTAGAGTTTTTTAAAACATACTTTTACAGAACTCTATGTAGGATCTACCATAGCGAGGTGAAGCCGGGTGACACCATTATTTTAGGCTCTACACTTCACGTATCTTCTTTATAAGTGCATAATTTAAAACACTTCTTAGATAAAGCCGTTTGATTTTATCTCGCTGAACATAAAATGGCTCTAAACGGCACCAGGAGCTCTGGAGCCGGTGAAAAGCCAGGGCAAGATTAGCCTCGAATGCACGCAGGCAAGACAAGAGAGGATGGGCGGGTTGGTGACGACTGCTGACTGCTGAGTCAGAAATAGTGAGAGGCTCCAACTCGCAACTCCGCCGCAGCAGCCAGCAGAGCAGAGCACGCAGAAAAGCTCCCCCATCAGTGCTCATCCCCACACTCCCAGTGAGAACGGAGAGAGAGAGGCCGAGAGGGCCGCCGCCGCCGCCATGAAGATCCTGGTCGCGGTGAAGCGGGTGGTGGACTACGCCGTCAAGGTGCGCGTGAGGCCCGACCGGACGGGCGTGGAGACGGCTAACATCAAGATGTCGATGAACCCCTTCTGCGAGATCGCCGTCGAGGAGGCGCTCCGGCTCCGCGAGGCCGGCGCCGCCGCCGAGGTCGTCGCCGCCACCGTCGGCCCCGCCCAGTCCGCCGACACGCTCCGCACCGCGCTCGCCATGGGCGCCGACCGCGCCGTCCACGTGCTCCACGACCCGGACCCCGCGCGGCCATTCCTCCCGCTCGCCGTTGCCAAGATCCTCCGCGCCGTCGCGCTGCAGGAGAAGCCCAGCCTCGTCATCCTCGGCAAGCAGGTGCGCGCTCGCCCTATCCTGATTCGTGACTAGCAGTGCACTGCCAATTTCATTTTAAGACTCAAGAATCAGGTGTCTGATTTGTACGTTCAGCAACTGTAGATTGGGGTGGGAGGAGACAATTGTTGCTTTGACACACTAGTATACAGTTGTTGCGATCATTCTCCAGTTAGTTAGACCCAATGTGCTTATCTGGATAAACCTGTGTGTGGGATTTGTTGTAGATAGGGTGTTTGATCTTTTGCGAATTCAGATTGATTCTTCGTGCTACAACAAGGTGGCCTTAAGATGGCATTTGTGGGGGGTGAGACCGTGAGAGGCATCTTAGTATGTTCTGGAATGCAATTGGAGCAATTGAAAATTAGCTTGGTTACTCGAATCAAGGATATGTGGAAGCTTGTCAGATATTGCAGCATTTTAACTTTGGTGTCCATAGTTGCTTTCCTTTGGTTTCTGCTCTATTCCTCAATTTCCACCAACAATGTAAATCTTTTGTAGCTAAGGTTTGATTGGTACAAGCTGAATGTAATCAGACCTCTGTTCTGATTTTGATTCATTGTGCATTTGTGCTCAAACAGATTTATATTTATATCCTTCCCCACCCCCCCCCCCCCCCCCCCCCCCCCCCCAAACCACCACCACCATTTTTCAATATTATTATGCACAGCAGCGCTTAGTTTTCACTGTAGGAACTTAAGCAAATAGAATACTTATCATCCTTATGTGTGAAGTCGAAAAGTGTCTTTATACAATATCCTAGGTTTATAAGCTTTCTTCCTTAGGTCCTGGTGTTGTGCACGCTTCATAGTCCATAGCAGTAGGTAAAAGTAAGTTTCAGAACTTAAGCGATTAAAACAGATAAATGTGCTTTATCTTTCTGCAAGCGCCAGTTGAGGCCTAAATATCAAAAGTTCCTGCTCAGGACAGGAAAACTGCCACTTCATCGTGTCATAGCTCTGTCATACCAATAAATCGTTTACTGAGAAACATTTTCCCTTTTTGCTTTGGTTTTGTATGTAGAACTGTTTCGAGGGTTGCCTGAAGCATACTGACATCCAATCTTACACCTTCCCTCTTGACTTCTTGGTTTGACCTGATGGAAGATTAATTATTTCTTAACATTCTTTCAGTCTTTTGAAATTATTTCTTGGAGGAAATGTTTTCAAAGTCTTAATTGGCATTTTTTGTGATAATCACAAATAAATTAAAAGATATAATCCTCCTCTAGTCAAGGTCACCAAGTTTCACTTACTTGGGAGTATATCTGCTGATAATCTATATTCCTGAGTCCTTTTCTTTTTAGTAACAGGCAATTGATGATGATTGCAACCAAACTGGACAAATGCTAGCTGGATTGCTTCAGTGGCCACAAGGAACCTTTGCCTCCAAGGTACCCTTTTTTTCCCTACTCTTTTGATTAACTGGTAACACCTAAAATATGACCATGAAAAGGACTCTCGCAGTTGGATATGCTCCTCCAAATCTTACTATGTTCTGTTATCCAACTAATTATCTTCAATACTATTCATAATAACCTATGCAATTGCCATCAACACGCAGTTCAATTTGAACAACTAACTGTTGTACTGTCATATTTGTCTTGCATATAGATTGTTGGAAGAATTTTTTAGTTCTTGGATTTTTCAAGTCTTTCATGAATCACACTTACTTTCTTGACGCATTATGCTTCGGTAGAGCTCCATCTGATTCTGATTCTCTACGGAAGCTGATTCTCTAAGAGGAGTGATTTTGTGGCTGAAAGTGATTCTCTTTGATTCTTTAGCATAAACACTCAAAATCACGATGGAGAATCACTTCACATAATCAGGAGAAACTACTTTTTTTAGTTCCTAGCCCCTTAGTTCATTTCGGAGAATCACTTCACAGAATTAGCAGAGAACTACTCTCTGCAGAATCAGCTCTAAGAGCTCTGCCAAACAGGGCCTTAGTTAATAAATGAGATCATGCAACACTAGGAAAGCAAACGTTTACGAATTCTTACATTGTGCGAATAACTGAAACTATTTTTTGTTAATTAACTGATTTAGTTGCCCACCCTGCTTTACTAATTTGCTTAATTGAAAATTCATATTAGAAGGTTCTTTCTTAATTTGACAGGTTATATTGGACACAGAAAAACAAAAGGCTACTGTTGAGCAAGAAGTTGATGGTGGAATTGAAACCATCTGCCTTGATTTGCCAGCAGTGATCACGTAGGGCCCATGAAACATTTCATATACTGTTTTCATTTTATTATTCTATCTTGGAGAAGGGAAATACAAATACTCAAGGATTTGTATTATGATGAATAATTTTCTGTGAACATGGGTTAACCATTAATTTTGTCTTTGCTGCAGCACGGATTTGAGACTTAACCAGCCAAGATATGCGACTTTGCCCAACATAATGAAGGCAAAATCCAAAGTTATTAAGAAAATCGCCCCTGAAGACCTCGGTGTTGATATTAGATCAGACATGGAGGTCATTGAGGTCAATGAACCACCAAAACGGAAAGCCGGGGTGATACTTTCATCTGTCGACGAACTCCTTGACAAGTTGAAAAATGAAGCACGTGTCTTGTAACAATTTGTATATTAGTCCTCGCTGAATGTGGTCTGACGTTCATTTGTTTAAGTTACAATAAAAATGTCTCTCCAAAAGTTCAGACCATTTACAAATAAAATAAGTGTTTCCGTGAACTAATTAAGATGCTATTTCAGAATCTTTTACCTGCTGAATTAGCTCAAAATAGTGGTTTGCTTAATTGTTTACAAGCTAAACTAGCTCGATATTTGGAGGAATATGGTGTACATGTTAGGATTAAGTGCTAGTTTTTAAGGGCTAGTTCAGCTGGGGCACCGGGGTTTCCGGTGGGTACTGAAAATCAGCACCAAGTCCATCTCTCCGATGCTTTTCAAATTTGCTAACTCCAAATGTTTTCCAACTTAGAACACAACTCCTTTAGGCACTGAGTTACTTGCCGATAACCTATGTCCCTATTGAGGTGGGATTCTATTATATCACTGCTTCACTAGCCTCGCGACACACGAGCTCGACACTTACGATATGGGCACTAGTGTGACACTGGTGGATGACCAAGAACCTCTCCAAGCCTCTTTTGTTTCCACTAAAGTTACTCTTTGTGATTCTTCTACGGGGATAAGCACAAAGCCCCCTCACAGTCCAATGATCGGAGTCCCCGTACCATCTCTAAGTGGTACTCAACGATCTCCACAAACACCAAGCTGGCTAGGTGACAACAATCATCGAGAGTAATAAGAAACCGCTGCAAAATCGATTCACCAAGTGCCACTAGATGCAAACTCTCAATACTAGCCACTAAAACCACTACAATCTCACACAAATGCTTTGAAAGTGAGTTGAAGGTGTTGCTCAAGCTCTAAGGATGCACAAGTATCAGCCAAGGGTGTCAAGAGAGCTAGAATAGCCGGCCACACATATATATAGCCACAACCACTCAACTAGCTGTTATGTGCTCAAATTCTTTAGGCACCAGAGGTGACCGCCAGAGATGCCACACCAGAGAAACGCCCCGATAGTCACTAACAGATCCAACGATCAAATTTAAACGGCCAACTAGCTGTTGGAGGGCTATTTCCCCATGCCCTTTCCGGTGCTCAGCACTTGACAAATCCAGTGCATGAGAAACCTCTCTGGTGGAAGGGTTAAAAATATCCCTTGGCTTACTCTGTCTCCGGTGCACCACCTAGGCACAACACCAGAGAAATCCGGTGTGAAAGGATCAAGATGCCCAAGAGGAGGGTGAATTGGGCTAATTCTAAATCTCTTTACAATAATTAAATTCTACGGTTAGCCCAATTAACCCCTTTGTGCCTAAAAAGTGTTTCTAGTTATTCTACCGCACAAAAGACTTGCACCCTAAGTTCCACTCCTACTTAGCATGGCAATTCTATGAATTGTAAAGACAAGAATTGAATTGCTCAATGTAAATGCTCAAAGTAATTACTCAAAGTAAATACTTAAAGTAAATAGAGAGAGAGGAACGCGGCGATGTTTTGCCGAGGTATCGGAGAGTCGCCACTCCCCACTAGTCCTCATTGGAGCACCCGTGCAAGGGTGTAGCTCCCCCTTGATCCGCGCAAGAATCAAGTGCCCTCTACGGGTTGATTCTTCGACACTCCGTCGCGGTGAATCACCCACAACCGCTCACAACTTGAGTTGGGTCATCCACAAGCTCTCCGGATGATCACCAAGCTCTCCAATCACCACCAAGCCGTCTAGGTGATGGCGATCACCAAGAGTAACAAGCACGAACTCTCACTTGACCACAACAAGCCTAGGGAGAAGGGTGGATGTACACTTTGCTACTCTTGATCTTGCTAATAAGGTCTCTCTCTTGGATTCTCAAATCTCAATCACCCTACTAGGACCTTGCTCTTCTTGGCACTCTCTAAGGTGTGTTTCAGCTGTTGGAATGAGCAAAAGTGTCTCCACACACGAGTAGAGCTTCTATTTATAACATGGGCTGAAAAACGAACCATTATGTGCCTCTGCGGGGTGACCGGACGCTCCGGTCAGTTCAACCCACACTCCAGTGTTTAAGTGTTGACCGGATGGCTACATGGGTGGTCCGATCACCACCGGCCGGACGCTGTCTCGGTCACAAATATCCCTCATTGGAACCTTCGATGGAGTCGGTTGCGACGAGGTGCCCTGGTCCTCGGCGTCCCTTTGGGACTTCTTGGCTGACGACCACTTGGGAAGCGTCTCACATCGCGCCATTTAATCTCCTTGGTCAAATGAACTGACCGGACCTGCGGCCCCGAGGAGTCTAGAGCCGGAAAGATCTTTGATTTGTTGCCCTCTATTCACTTCCAACTCTCGATCATATATGAATGAAGTTTGCTCCAGAGGATCTTAGACATATGTAGGAGCTACCTAGCGCTAGTTTTAACAAGTGTGCACCACACCTAACTCACTAGACTCACCTAGGTCAAGCTACTCGTCCATACCCCCTTTAATAGTACGGCCAAAGGAAAAACAAAGTCCTAAACTACTCTAAGTGTCTCTCCAACTCCAATCGACACTTAGAACTAGTCATCCTTAACCTTGTCGTCCATCCTTTGAAAACCGAAATGATTTCCATCGTAGGGGCATGGCATCCATGATTGCCCAATCGATCTCCATTACTGTGACCTAACTTAACTGCCTCTGCAAAACACACGTTAGTCACAGTAATCTTATATTGTCATTAATCACCGAAACCCAATTAGGGGCCTAGATGCTTTCACGGTGGTCTGAGACTTTACTGGATGCCCCACGAGTAAGGTTTTAGACACATCAGATAAGTCCAGTGCGGTCAAGTTTCAAATGGTTTTCCAAGTTTGATAACTTCAAATGTGTTCAACTAAGAACGCCACCACCTTAGACACTTAGTTAGCTTTTCAAAAACAACTTTCAAAGTATTTTCACTTATTTATCACCACGTCACTAGGCCTAATGCACATGCATTATTGGTAGTGGCACTTATACAACCACAATCACATAGAACTCCCTTTTTATATTACAGCTATCTATCCTAAATCTGATTGTGCGCTCTATTGCACCTAGATCGGCAAAAGCAGTCATATCAATATACCTTTGCCTTTGGGCTTGCTTTCCATTCCATCTTTTTCTCCATGGTTGAGCACTTGCTTAATGTGGTCATGAACTCCATCTCTACCATCTCCTAAGCCTTGCTCATCAACATCAAGTTGACTCTAGCTTAACACACTCAATAAAAGCATTAGTCCACATGGTTGACACTCAATTATCAAAATCAAACTAGAGTTTTCAACAACAGTAAAGAAATTGGTGTTCACTCTTCTGTTCATCTGCATAATTGAGATGAAATAGATCCCCCATCCATCGGATCTAGATCTCGGTGTTCCCTTTATTGCCCCCAAACTTCAGGTTTCTTAAAAATATTAGCCATGGCATCATGTTTCGATTAAAGGGTGGAGCTAGGATTCGGACATAGGAGAAGCCGATCAAGCTGACAACACATGGCAATGATATTGATAATAACCAAATAAACATTAATTTCACAAACAAAAGCTACAAAATAAAAACAGAATATTATAAAAGGAAAAGGAACGAAATTTAATTATCCCTAAGTCTTTAATCTCCACTTGATCAATCTAATTCTTAGAAAAAAAAAAGAATCACGGTAACAAAAAAATAATAAAGGAGATGTCAAAGATAGATTTGTCGGATATATGGGCCAGGGGTACCTGCACCGTCCGTATATACGACCATGTCTCAGGCTGTCGGCCTAGGAGCCATCAAGGAGGAGGCCCACGAGGGCTGAGGTGGTCGATCAACGTGGAGACCAAGGCAAGCCAAAAATATCCAAGATAGGCGCATTTGGACGATAGCTAGGATCAATCTATTGCGCATTTCATGTGACAAACTAGGAATTCAATCTGTTAGCCCGATCACCCTCATTGTAACCCTAGTCCCTCTGCCTAAAGGAGGGTAGGGACCTCACGATCGAGATCCAACTCCTCTCATTCCAATCTACTATGTAGCTAGGAGCAACAACCTCTATAATTGAGCATACGAATACAAGAAGAGCAGCAGCACTGGACTAGGGTTTTACGCACACCGCAGTCTGTACCAGTATAAATTCTTGTGTCTCGTGTGCTACCATCTGATTCCGTCTACGCGGTCACGTTGTTAGGCATTGTCGGAGCTAATTCATCCGACAAGAAGGAAGACTAATTTTAAATAATATAGATGTTGTTAGAGATCAATATATAGGAAGAACGAACAAACAAAGCACTAATTAATTTGTTCACTAGCTAACCAGTAGAGAGAACAAAAGCAATGAGAAAAATAATAGAAAGACGAATGCTACATTAATTAGTATTATTAACTAGCTAATTAGTATTAGTAACTAAGTAAAACAAAACAATTGAACACTAATTAGTATTAAGGCTTTCCTCCAGCAAAAAAGATTTTTCTTTTAAAAAAAGGCAAGAGCTCTATCAATCAATTAAGAAGAAGCAACCATTCGTTTAAAATACAAATGACGAGATACCATCGCAAAAAGGAATGGATCATTACATACTATCCCATAGAAATGATTGTAGATACAGTAATGTCTCGTGAGGGCGTTGCACGGACTGACGCGGCTTCCCACTGGCTACCGCACCGCCGCCCGCTCCCATTTGCGCCCCTTCCGAAAAAAAACGAAAATATGTCTACGCGCTCCGCCTCCAGCGCACTACCCGCCTTCCCCACTCTGCGCTCCACCGCGCCGCTCGCCTACACCACACAATCCACCCGCCGCGGCCGCCTCCACTACGCTGCCCGCTCACCGCGGTTGCCTCCACCGAGCCGGCAAGCCTCCACGATGGATACTCCAGCAAGCAGGCGAGGGGAGGAGCTTCATGTGACGCCGCGTCGCTGCCGCACTGGCAAGCTCCATGCGCCGACGTCAAGCTCCGCAACGACGAGCCTCAAGGTGACATTGCACTGAAAGCGCATGTTGCAAGCGTATGTTTAGTGTTTCAAATGTTTTTATCTGGATGTTGCATGTATTTTATCTACATGTTGCT